CATAACGCTGAAAGGTCCTATATATTCTGTTCTTAGACAGATATAGACTTTGTCTTGTTCTTCTTTTTTTTGTTTGAATGTATTTGCACAGTACCTAAAACATCTGCAGTGCTACCCAGTAGAGCTTCCTTGTACTTGACCAGACTTTCGTCATCGGCGTCACGTTCTTGAAGCGTCTGCAAGTCCATTTGTTTGGGCGGTGGGTAGTCGCGGGCAAGCTCTTCAGTACCCCTCTGAGCTGGCACGGCTTCTGGTTCATCTCCCCTCTCTACTGCACTCCGACAGGGAGAGACAGAATTAACTTTAACGCTTGTATTACATTATACTACATTTAAGAAGATTCCCTGCTGAAAATGATAATAAAAAGAACTTTCCGTGGTTTTGGGCAGTACCTTACAAAGAGTAGCAGTTGTTTTCTGCAGACTGACGCGGTACAGGGATGCATGGGTTAACACGTACCTTTTCCAGACATGGCGTTTCAGAGTTGGACTGTACCAAACTATTCCGAAGATTTAAATTACTACAAGCAAATGTCAATGTCTGAAATAGCAGAGACTACTTCCAACTACAACTGCCTGAAATTATACAAATGTATGTGCTATTTTTCGTGAACATTTCACAGACTTTCAGGAAGGAAGGAGGATTGTTTTGTTTTGTAACTTTTTTTAATGTTGTCCATCGTCTTTACACTGCTTAAGGATACATTTAAGGGTGTGCTTTAATTAACCGAGAACACACACTAACTCCGCATGGCAAAGAATTGCATATTTTAAAAGTTTACTCTATTTTCAAATATTTGCACATGTTTGGCAATGTGGCCATGACAAATCAAGGTAGGTCCGTGTGACCATGTGACACATTAGTGTGCACTGTAAACAAAACCCGTAAAAACACTGTCCTTTTCCCGCATTGTTTACGGTTTATTACCGTTATTGCTTGAACCGTCACAAGAAAGAACGTGCTACGTGCATTTCCCGTAAAACTTGGTGACCTAACGCAGGCTGGGATTCACAATGCTTTGTATTCGTAACTTTTCAAAACCCCTCCCCTTTCAAACCCTCACAACCGCCTAGTTTTTAAAGCTGTGATTCGTGTGCACTCACGCAAGGTTCGCTACGTGCTGATCATTGTACTGTGAAAGCCGTAATGCTTTAATATTGCGGAATTTGGAGAGCCAAACAGCTAATTCTGCGGTGTTGACCAGCAATAGGTTGACCCTTTCTGCGGGATTGGTAAAAAGTTGTAAATGAAAATTACAACTTACGGATGCAAGTTATGTTACAACTTAAAGATAATTTCACATTAAGTGATTTGAAAACCACTATGCCTGTAAAAGACAAGCTGTAAAACGTATGCATACCCCACTCCCAGCTGCAGTAACTGGAACCTACCCCCCTCCCTATACCCCTACACTAAGCTCTGACGCCACCCACTTTGTATTCCATTACTTTACGGCAAATTGCCGTCAAATTTACGGGAAATTCGCGTTAAAATTACGGTCACCGTCATTTTTCGAAACCCGTAACTGACCGTAATTTTACGGTCTTTTGTTGGCAACCCGTTTGACACTGCTTTTACCGTAAAATTACGGGCAATTTTTTTACCGTGTGTTTGACAGTTTGGCTTCATCTGATATTTCTGTTGTGAATCTCTTAAAAGTCGCACGCTCACTCTCCACGAAGAGATGTCCTTTTGTTAAAGCAGTAATAAAACAGGTACAGCAGAATTTTATTTGCTTATTTTGTCACAATTAAATGCAAAACCTACTCATTTTTTTGAATGAGATTTCCTCCAAAAGCGACATTTAGTTATTTAATTATTTTTTTCACAAAACTTGAATTATTAGCTGCTAGACAATTTGTCAGGGAGTGTTTAAATTAGGCAACACGCCCATTTTTAGTGGGTTGCAAAATGCCTAAAAATGGGATGAAGTACAATTTTCACTAAATTAAAAAAAAATAAGAGCCAGGAAACATGCTTCTTTAACCCTGAACTCCAAAGAATGTATTGGGGATGCAGTACCAAATGCCAAAAGAACACTAATGGTAATGGGCTTTGTACATGTCAGTAGATGGCACATTTTGACCACTTTTGAGATCCCCAGGGAGGAACAGTATACTGCATACGTGCAGGCTGATAGTCGAGCATCGACCTCCCACCTCGGACGTCCTGTTGTCCCTCTTTTGTTTGTACTCGAACTTTTTTTCGGAAGACCTTCATATTAAAGCCCGAGTCCATCATTTGCAGCTATCCAAAAAGTAGCTAGCGTAATTATTGTTGAAAAACATACTTTATATAGTTAATTCGTCTAGACAAAGCGCAGTTAGAGGATGAAGACGGGGTCAAAAAGACTGTGTGCCAAATGCCATGCTTGTATCATCAAAGGCACAATTCCCTCAAATACTTCCCTATCTGTCCCACTTTAAGTCTTACATAGGGTCTATCTTACAATCACATGAACATGTACATACCTTGAAGTGCCGTCGCGCATACACAGCTGAGGCACATCAAGAGAATCACACAGGCGTGTCCCTTCATTTCAAGTCTTTTCTGTTCTTTTTTAACGAAAAAAAAAATGGAGCAGTCATGTTGGAAAGACGTTTGTATTGATACACCGTGGAAGTGACCATGGGAAGTGAAAAGTCCCATCACCCATCTTTGGTTTAATTGTACACACGGATGTCGCTAGAGAAGGGGTGTTGGGTCCATCCACCCAATCAAACGGTTTGTCGGCAAAACTGTCGTCCTGACGGCAAATATACTTTAGTTTATTAGGTTGTGTATATAATACACGAGTGCCACTAGTGAGCGCAAATTTGCATCCTTGTGGAGACATTTCCACAATAGGGAACAAAAGATTGTATAGGTTTCCACAGGGCAATTTCTATAGATGAATAGGTCTCCACAAGGTTTTCACGAAGTAGATATATGGATTTTACCCCAAAACTAGGAATTTCCAAGGTGGGTTGATTTGTCGCAAATGGAAGAGTTTTAGAAAAGGGATATTAAGTCCGAATTTCAGCTAAGGAAATTAATTCTGGTTAAAATAAGAGCATTTTGGAACTTCACTTTCAAACTCGAAAACTTTACTACACGAGAACAAGGAAATTTCTCCACAAGGATACAAATTTGAGCGTGTGTTTTGTCTGAAAAATTGTCGTCCTGTCGGTAACTATACTTTGGTTTGAGTACACACGAGTACCACTAGAAAAGGGTTGGGGTGAAATACATTTTGGCAAAATTGTCGTCCTGTCCAATATATGCTTTGACGAGTGGCGCAACCTATCTTCCCATAATTGTTTGAAGATCGTTCGCTTTGAATAGTGCGGCCCGGGGGTAGACGCCATCCAACTTTTGGAGGCACTGATCGACATGCCCCAAAAGTTGGATGGTGTCCACCCCGGGCTAGCTTCCAGTACAGACGGCCTGTCGACAATTTTCTGTCAACACCCTCCATAAAAATTAACATTGGTAGGCGACGCCCTGTATTTGCAGGGGCCGTATCATAAGTCCGACGCCTCATAGGTCCGACGCCTCATAAGTCCGAAATTTCGGACTTATGAGGCGTCTGAGTTATGAGGCATAACATTTATTTATTCCGTCTCATAGGTCCGACGCCTCATAAGTCCGACGCCTCATAAGTCCGACAACGGAAAAACGAGGCGTTTAATTTGTCGGACTTACGAAGCGTCGGAGCTATGAGGCGTCGGACCTATGAGGCATCGGACTTAGGAAAAACTCTGAATGGGCATGATCTGACAGGGCAATATAGTCCAGGCAAAATACTTCATTTTTTGAGTGAACCTCAAACAAATTACAACAGAATTTTTTTCACCACGGTGCATTTCTATAAGGTCCCTAAAATGACATACTAAAAGTCCAAAAAAATCCAAGTGGTGGAAATATGCCTAATTTGCATAAATCCAAAATGGCCGAATTTTTTTGGACTTTCACATTGATTTGGTCATATTTCTTATATTCGTTAGCTTTTTCAGGTACTTAAAACGACAATTGTAGTCCGTTTACATTGATTTCATAATTATTCTAGTCCTACGTAACTTTCAAGATCCCCATGTTTCTCAAATTTGCCATATGCCGTACAATAATTTTCATAAATGCAATATATTAATTTGCATGAATTAAAGTTAAAATTATGGCTGTCATGTGTGGACATGTCACAATTGAATTTTCCTGATAATCCAAGTTCAGTTATTTACTAAATATCACACCACAGTGCATTTCTATAAGGCCCCTAAAAGGTCCAAAAATCCAAGTGGTGGAAATATGCCTAATTTGCATAAATTCAAAATGGCCACTTAAACCATGATTGAGTGGTCGGGCACAACCCGACCACTGATTGGAGTTGTTACGATTAATCTTCTTTGAGTGGTCGGGCACAACCCGACCACTCTTTGGATTTGTTGCGATTAATCTTTCTTTCTTTCTTTCTTTCTTTTTCCGGACAATACTTCTCCGCGGGTTTTCTCTTAAACGGTATATGGTATGAACTTGTAACTTTCAATATATATCGACCCTCATCCGAAGTGGTGCATATTACTCTGACGTCATGATTATGTCATCAGGTGTCAAATTACAAGTGATTTTAACTGAACAAGTGACCAAATACTTTCACTTATAACTCTTGAACTAAATCATTGATGTTTGTATTCTGTAATCAGATAGACCATTAATCGCTAACTATTTTTTGCCGTGTACGTAAACTCGCTTGACCTTTACTTCCGGGTCTACCGGAAGGTCAAAGTTAACTGAATTCAAAATGAAGACGTGAGCCTGAAATCAAAACAAAGCAACATTTCTTCCGAACGGTTCACGGTATGATCACAAAACCTTGTGTGAACTTGTACCTTGTTACGAAGATGTTATAGTTTTTGTTACGCCATCATGACGTCATCAGGTATCAAATTACAAGCGATTTAAGGGCAAATTTTGACAAAATAGTTTGCGCATATCTTTTGAACTAAATAGAGTATCGTGTTCGCTTTTTCATGAGGTTGTAGACTATGCCGTGAGGAACATTTCTTGTCCCCAGACACAAAACCGCTTGACCTTTACTTCCGGTGTTACCTGAATATAGCTCAAAAGCGGAAGCATTTTACTGCAGACACATATATTATAAAAGTGTTTGGTGAAGAATGCCAGACACAAAAACAGTGTGATGGCGTCATCATCCGGAAGTCAAAGTCGTTTGACCTTTCCTTCCGGGGCTGCCAGAAGGTCAAAGTTAGGTGAATTCAAAATATAGAAATTAACCTCAAATAAAAGGAAAACAAGATTTCTTTCCATAACCGATTGAAATCACGCCTCACCAGTTTACCTCTCATATCTGAATGCTGAAAATTAATATTTCCACAGCATGTAGCAACAACCTTTCCTGTCGTAAAGTCAGTGCAGAATTTTATTATGCCCATGCAAAAGAAAAAAACAACTAAAAAGCCATTTTATGTGATTAGCATATGTTGCATAAACTCCAACGACGTAAGAGGCTCCGGCAAGTCTACCAATAGTCCCAACTGGTTGTATGCTTGAGTAGCCATCCATGCAGCACCAGATGTGCGCTTCCTGATAGGCCTACAAGTCTTGTCGAGGTAGCAACAAGTTCAACTGCAGGTTGTGTGATTTTCTATGTGAAAAACACAGGGTAATGGATATGCAGGGTAATTGGAGGAGTATTGTGCAGTTCAATTATGATTAAGTCACTGTAAACACAAGAAAATATGCCAGCCGGACCACTCTGCGTTTGTAACTCAACACACGCGAATCTCTAGTTCTTTCTTTCTTTCTTTCTTTTTTCCGGACAATAAATTTCCGCGGATTTTCTCATAAACAGTATATGGTATGAACTTGTAACTTTCAACATATATCGACCCTCGTCCCAAGTGGTGCATATTTTCTGACTTCATGATGACGTCATTGGGTGTCAAATTACAAGCGATTTTAGAGAAAAAATGGGCCAAATACTTTCACCTTTAACTCTTAAACAAAGTGATCAATTACGTTTCAACTTTGCAATCAGATAGACCATTAGTTGATAAACATTTTTTGTCGTGTACGTGAACTCGCTTGACCTTTACTTCCGGGTCTACCGGAAGGTCAAAGTTACGTGAATTCAAAATGAAGACTTAAGCCTGAAATTCAAACAAAGCAAAATTTCTTCCGAACGGTTTACGGGATGATCATAAAACCTAGTGTGAATTTGTACCATGTTACGAAGATGTTATAAATTTGGTTACGTCATCATGATGTAATGTAAGGGCAAAGTGATGGAAGGGCAAATTTTGACTAAATAGTTTGAGCTATACTTTTGAACTCAGTAGAGTATCTTGTTCGTTTTTTCTTGAGGTTGTAGACTATGCCTTGAGTAACATTTCTTGTTCCCGGACACAAAACCGCTTGACCTTTACTTCCGGTGTTACCGGAAGTGCAATAAAAACTGAATATAACTAGGAAGAGGAAGTATTTTACTACATTTTACTACGTTTTACTATATTTGTTGGAACAAATAAGAAAGCGGCTGCTTACAATAATAGTACTGCTACCACATAATTTCATCATATTTGTTCACCAGGGACTGCAAAATCACAGCTCTTATAAGAATAAACCCAGGGGAGGATCCAGAAATTTGTACAAAATCACACAAAGCATTCAAAACTAATATTCTTTTTTCTGATTTCTTTCGGCGTAACTCGCATATCAACACTGATTCTTTAATTCGTACCTTTATGCAGAAATTTAATAGTTCGACAGTGTAGCCACAAACTTTTTTTTTCGTTATCTCAGTGCAGAAATTTAGGAAGCCCATGCGTGCAAAAGACATAAGCCATTTTATTTTTGATATTGAGATAATCAAATGTTGCATATATTAAGCTCCAAACACGTCATAGAGGCTCCCTCAAGTCTACCGATTCCGATTCTGACCATGAATTCAATTATAATATTCTCGTCCATTTTCTGATATTTTTCGCCATAACCGATTGAAATCGCACCTCGCCAGTTTACCTCTCATATCTGAATGCTGAAAATTAATATTTCTACAGCGTGTAGCCACAAACTTTTCTGTCGTAAACTCAGTTAGCATAATTATGTTTCATAATCTTTAACGACGTGAGACGCTCTGTCAATTCTACCAATGTCGTAACTTTAGTGCAGAATTTTATTATGCCCATGCAAAAGACAAAAAAACAAAAAAACAAACCAGCCATTTTATTTTAAGATTAGCATAATTCTGTTGTATAAACTCCAACCACGTTAGAGGCTTCGTTAACTCAACCAATAGTCCCAACTGGTTGTATGCTTGAGTAGCCATCCATGCAGCACCAGATGTGCGCTTCCTGATAGGCCTACAAGTCTTGCCCAGGTAGCAACAAGTTCAACTGCAGGTTGTGTGATTTTCTTTGTGAAAAACACAGGGTAATGGGTGCAGGGTAAAGGGAGGGGTAATGTGCAGTTCAATTATGATTAAGTCACTGTAAACACAAGAAAATATGTCAGCCCGACCACTCTGCGTTTGTAACTCAACCATTGCGAACCTCTAGTT